TAAGCGAATGTTAAACTTTAGATGTAACACAGTTACTCTGGATCTGTGCCTGAAGATTATGTTTGAAAACTCAAAGCAACACCACAACTGCAGCCTTAGGATTAATAAATAGCTTTAAATGATTCCACAGCTGTTTGAGGTGTCAAAAAAATCTGCTTTTTCAAATGTTGGACCTGAGTGTTGCCTTTGACACAGTGGATCACACAATTCTTTTGAACAGACTTCAAAACCGCATTGGCATCTCTGGTACTGTTTTTAACTGGAATAAGACATATCTAAATGGCAGGAAATTTTATGTTAGCACTGGGGAACGCTCATCAAGAACCTATGACATGGAATGTGGCGTTCCCCAGGGTTTGATTTTAGGCCCCACACTTTTTAATCTATATGTGTTACCATTAGGAGACGTCATCAGGAGACATGACATTAACTTTCACAGCTATGCTGATGACACACAGCTCTACATGGCCATGTCTCCTGATGACACAGGGCCCATTGATGCCCTTTTTAACTGCATCTTAGACGTTCAGTCCTGGATGGCAGACAACTTCTTGCAACTCAACCAGGACAAAACTCAGGATTTAGTCATTGGTACAGGTCCAGAGAGAGAGAAACTGGAGAACAAACTTCAAGCACTGTCTTTTAATCCCTGTAAACAAGTGAAAAACTTGGGAGTTACATTTGATTTTAGCCTCAGCTTTGAGCCACACATCCGAGATGTTACCAAAAAGGCTTTTTATCATCTTAAGAACCTCTCCAGAGTGCGCCAGTTTCTCTCTGAAGCCAACGCAGAGACTCTTATCCATGTGTTTATTACTTGCAGAATTGATTATTGTAATGCTCTCCTCTCTGGTCTTCCGAAAAAGAACATTTCACAGCTTCAGCTGTTGCAAAAAATTCACCTGCACGCATGCTGACGAAGACCAGAAGGAGAGCTCACATTACACCAATTTTAAAATCTCTACATTGGCTTCCTGTATCTTTTAGAATAGATTTTATAATTCTTTTGTTAGTTTATAAATCTCTCAATGGTCTTGGACCTTCTTATTTATCTGATGTGCGTTTATCATACGAGCCCAGTAGAGCCCTCAGGTCTTCAGGTAGTGGTCTTTTAATCGTCCCCAAAGTGAAAACCAAAACGTATGGTGAGGCATCATTTCACTATTATGGCCCCCGTCTGTGGAACAGTCTACCTGAAGACCTGAGGGCAGCAACTACTGTTCATATTTTTAAAGGCAAACTCAAGACCTACCTTTTTAATCTGGCTTTTAGCTGATTTTGGTTTTGTTCTTTTCGCCTCTCTTTTAGTCTACTCCTTTAATCTTATGTATTTGACTCCACTTAAGTCTCAGAGTTACTATTTTATGTTTTAATACTTTTCATTTTTCTTTTATAGTTTGGTTTTAAACAGTTCTTTATTTTTTTTTTAAACTTTTAGCATTTTATTAGTTTTGTATATCTTATGATTTTATTATGTTAGCTTTTGCGCCTGTGTTTCCTCATTTTAATTCAAGATAGCGTTTCCTCGGTCCTCTGTGGCTTCCTGTGGAGACCTGACTTGGTGTCCCTGTGTGTGCGTCTGTGTGCGTGTGTCTGTGTGTGTCTGTGTGTGTGTGTGTGTGCGAGTGGCATTCTGTGTTAAATGGGGGCTGGGAGGGTGGGTGGGGTTTTGTATTTTATTTTGTATCCCCTAACCCCTTCTGATTGTGTTCTGCAATGTACAGCACTTTGTGATGCATGTCATGTATGAATAGAGCTTTATAAATAAAGTTTGATTTGATTTGAAATGTAAAATATGTATAAACCATAAAGCATAAAAGTCAAGCAAAGTCTAAAGTTCATTTAAGTACAGGAGCTGAGGAAATGTGCAGCTTTCTTACTTTCCAAGCACTGCCTGCCGACTCTCAGGGTGAGACAGCTGCCACACCTAGTGGTGCAGCAGCAGTAACGCCTGCATTCTTAAAGCCATTCCTTTATTCTGAAGTCATGTTTCCTCCCTGTAAAAACATGTCTAACGCACAACACAATCAAAATAATTCTAGAAGAATATTTTTTTTTCTTTGTGTTTATGCTTCTATTATGCATGAAACAAAACAGCAAACAAATGCTCTGCCACCTTCTTCTTTCTACTGTGAGAAATACTACCCCCCCATGACTTTATATAATGACATTTGATGACAATGCCAACATCTATCTATCTATCTATCTATCTATCTATCTATCTATCTAAGATCAAGATGTCATCCAAGTAAACATACACAAAGTGGTTCAAAAAGTCTCTAAGCACATCGTTGATCATGGCTTGAAAGACAGCAGGAGCGTTAGTCAATCCAAATGGCATGACAAGGTATTCATAATGACTATACTGTTCCCACTACGTGTTGTATACGCCCAGTATGTTAACGCAGATGAACAGCAAGCCAAACTCGATTTTACGAGCCAGGATCAGAGCGCCTTGCTCTCTTTATTAAAGATGACTCATNAACAGCAAGCCAAACTCGATTTTACGAGCCAGGATCAGAGCGCCTTGCTCTCTTTATTAAAGATGACTCATGAAATTACGAGTGAAACTGTAACAACAAGAAGAAAAAAAAAACAAGAACAATGTTCACAATCATTATATAAGTTACTTTATTTGCACAGATCAAAAACTAAGCTCCAACATTCCAACGTTCATTCTTACAAATAGGGCAAAAGCGTGTAAGATCATTATCCTTTGAGTTTATGTCTGCGGCTGAGGCAACTTCAGTTTTATGGACTGAGACAGATGCTCTGTGTGCACTGGGTTTGAATGGGACTCTTTCACCTTTACTGTATGATTGGCTGCTGTGTGGTAGAGTGAAACTTGGGTCATTTCTGGCTTTAGCCTGCTCATAGATGAAGTCCACAAAAAAGGAGAAAGGTGGAAACACCACACCATGTTCTTTTTTGTACCGTGAACCAGTCTGAAGCCACTTGTCTTGTAAACCTGGAGGCAGTTTTTCAACTACAGGTTTTATACAGCGTGGTGTATCTAGATAAGCAAGGCCTGGGAGGTAGTTCTCATTTTTAGCTGCCAGGAGTTCCAAGAGCAAATCACTGAGCTCTCTCAACTTTGCCTTGTCTCTGACTGAAAGACGTGGGAAGCTATCCAACCTACCAAACAGGGCATTTTCTACAACTTCTGGTGTAGCATAACACTCTCTAAGTCTATCCCATGATGCTTGAAGTGCAGCTTGAGGATTGGTGGCGTAAGCGGCTCGAATCCTTTTCACGTGCTCTGACGATTCTTTGCCCAGCCATTTCACCACACGACCTAACTCTTCGCCAAATGTGAGGTCAGGGTCTTCTATAGCGTTTAGAAATGATGACTGCCATGATCTGTAACTTTCAGGAGTATCATCAAACTTAAAAAGACCAATAGTTATCAATTCCCTACGAGCCAGAAATCTGGCGAAGTCAACCATAGGAGGGGGCTCAGCATGGCGAGAGGAGGTTGGATGATTCACCTTTTCTTGGTGTTTCGGTGTGCCAGAAGGATGAGGGTGCCAGAGGGATGAGGGTGTTTCATATTTTACTGGCAGGCTGGTGGTCTCTGATGGTTTGATTGCTGGGAGCTTGGATGGTGAGCTCACACCATTACTCACAAGTAGTGGCGGTTCAATGTTTGATTGTTTATCTGGAAAGCTGTGTACTGTTTGACTCTGCACATATTCTTCTGTTCTTTTCTGAACAACTTGAAAGGGGACTGAACTTCGCACACTCCTGAAACCATCACGGTCTTCGGCCACAGCAGCCTCTAAAACTTCAGCCTTGGCGACAGCTGCTGCTGCTTCTTTTTCAATTTCAAGGACTTCTAGCTGTGCCTCCAGTCTAGCTCTTTCTTCTTTGAGCTCTAACTGTTTTCTGGCATAGGCAATTTTAGCTTTTGTAGTTTCAGCCAAAGCTCAAGCTCTAGCAGCTGCTTCAACAATCGAGGATTTACTGGAGGCTCGGGACCCAGATGACTTGGATGATACTGCATGATTGTGACTTGCTTCAGATTTAGCTTTTCCAACTGTTGCTTCAGTTTGCTGCTCAGAATCCATTGTTGCGTCTTGCACTGACATCTTTGCCTCTCGATAATTGGCATTTCACTATACTGTTCCCACTACGTGTTGTACACGCCCAGTATGTTAACGCAGATGAACAGCAAGCCAAACTCGATTTTACGAGCCAGGATCAGAGCGCCTTGCTCTCTTTATTAAAGATGACTCATGACATTACGAATGAAACTGTAACAAGAAGAAGAAAAAAAACAAGAACAATGTTCACAATCATATAAGTAACTTTATTTGCACAGATCAAAAACTAAGCTCCAACATCAGCTTTAATATATACATTGTACTGCAATGAACTAGTGAGGTAAGTTATTGACAAGATAAATGCCGACTGATGTTCCAATTTACGCCACTAGATGGCGGAATTGTCATGCTGAACAACATAACCAAGCTAACATGTGTCAGAGCGAACAGCACAAAGTTACCAAACGATCTCTAAAAACACACATAAGGCACTTAAAAGCATTGTAATTGTGTTACTTTAACTTCCAAACAACTTATTACTTACTGCCATTGCTTTCTGGAGCATGAGAAGGTTTGAGGAGAGATTTCACCCGTCTGCCATTACACAGTCAGCATCAACAACGCAGCTTCTTTACGGCAGTTTACAACAATTTACAGCAATGCGTTGCGGCTTCCACAAAAAAACACCTTCAAAATAAAATACTAAAATGCTGCAATTAAGTGTTCTTACCTCTAATCTTTTTTTAACCCATTTTTTAAGACATTAAGAACTATGAATTAACATTATGAAATAACTTGAATACCTGCAGGGCAGCACAATGACCACTATTCAATTCAATTTTATTTGTATAGCGCATATTTACAACAACAAGTCATCTCATAGCCCTTCACAAAGGCTGAGACAGAAACACCCAACAATCCAAAACATTTGGATTCCCTATGAGCTTCAGCAGTCCGCAAGCAGTCTGCAACAGTGGGAAGGAACCGAAAACCCCCACAGGGGGAAAAAAAACCTCCGACAGAACCAGGCTCAGGGCCATCTGCCTCGACCGGTTGGGTGGATGTAGAATGAATTATAAAATTTAGTTTATAGTTAAACAAGTTATTAGAAGTTATTGTCCTTTTGTAACAGGAGGCATCATGGTGGGGGCAGCAGG